TATGTAATAAATTCATCATATATCTACATTAATTAGAAGAAATAAAATGAGTTGCTTAACATAGTTTTATATAAAGTATGGGTTTGACTGGAAAGAAAAGAGTACACACAATATCTCATTGTCTAACTCTTTGCAACTGAGAATACGGTAAAAAAAATGGATTATCAATCAAAACATCAAAATGTAAAATAAAAGGAAAAGTTTTAAAATTTTTCTTTTTCTTCAACAGGGCCTTAAATGATAAATAAAAATTTTTCTACAAAACAATAATAGCTAATTGTGCCATTAGTAAATTAATAGATAAATTAAAAACTAAATTTACAAAGGTTTCTAAAATAGTTTTTCATACCATAGTTTATATTTTGTTTCCTTTTGTTTCTTGTCATGGTAACGACGCTGAATTATTGATTGGCTCGATGTGTTTTTCTTTTTCTCTCATTCGATTCATACTGTTTGTACTCGTAACGGATGTACGATAAAACAGTCGTTCAATTTGAATTGTTCTTAATCATTCTAACTAATATCATACATGTAAAGATAGGAAGGATCACACATAGCTGATTTTAATGATACTGCTTATTTGACCACATCAATACATACAGTCTCTTCTGCTTTGTGCTTACTCCCTTGCCTATCCTTCCACATAAGCATGTGAAGTGCGTTTGCGGTTCTGTCAGAGAGACTTAATGTCCTTTTGGTACCCACAGAAGTGCATGCAGAGGTTTTTGGCATACATGTATGGTATCTCGACTATTGTTGAGATTGATCTCAGCACTATTCCACTAGGTTCCGGCTGTCTCTCTGCTCGCGCACACATGAATAGAAGCATTCGAGACAAAAAAAAACAATTGTAATAGACACAAATAAATAGTGGACGAAATTTATTTGTTATAGCAAATAAACTTGATTACATTTTCTCTTTCACACGCTCAATATTTCTTTTTGATTGTGCTACGTACGGATGCGTTGGAGGAAGAGATTTTTGGTCGATATCGAGTCCTTTTTCGTAAAATAAAAGCGCTTTCGAGTATTCGCTTATCTTATCATATACCAAACCGATGTTGCCGTATGAAGTAGCTAGGGAAGGATGGTTCGAAGGAAGAGTTTTTTCTTTGATATCAAGTGATTTTTCGTAAAATGAAAGTGCTTTTGAGTAGTCACCCATGCTATCATACACCGAACCGATGTTATTGTATGCAGTAGCCAAATCAAGATGGTTCGGAGGTAGAGTTTTTTCTTTGATATCAAGCGATTTTTCGTAAAATGAAAGTGCTTTCGAGTACTCACCCATGTTATCATATATTAAACCGATGTTGTTATAGGAAGTAGCCAAATCAAGATGGCTCGAAGGTAGAGTTTTTTCATAAATATTGAGTGATTTTTCGTAAAACACGAGTGCTTTCGAGTATTCGCCCATGTTATCATACACCAAGCCGATGTTGTTGTAAGAAGTAGCCACGGAGGGATGGTTCGGAGGAAGAGTTTTTTCTCTGATATGTAATGATTTTTCATAGAATGAAAGTGCTTTTGAGTACTCACCCATATTATCGTACACCAAACCAATGTTGTTGTAGGAGATGGCCAAAGAAGGATGGTTCGGAGGGAGTGTTTTTTGGCTGATCTCAAGAACTTTTTCGTAAAGCGAAAGTGCTTTTGAGTACTCACCCATGTTGTAATAGACCTCTCCGATGTTGTTGTAGGAAGTAGTCAAGTAGGGATGGCTCGGAGGGAGGATTTTTTCGTAAATATCGAGTGATTTTTCGTAAAATTCGGCGGCCATATTATAGTCTTCTTGGTTATCTTTGATTAGTCCAAGTTCGTGATAGTAATTAGCTTTATCGCTCTCATTAGATGTCTGTTCGAGTAATATGGTGTACACTTGGTGAGCCTTGTCATTTTCATTCAATTTCATGAATAGGGAACACATTCGTTGCCATCCTGTCCCAGTTATCTCGTCTCGCACTTCTTTGATAAGAGACTTCAGCTGCTGGTCATTACTGCCAGTGATGAGCGTGAGTTTCACATGCCACAACGTCATTCCGTTATCTTTGATTTCTTTGATTTGCTGGACACGAAAAATCGTATGCATTGAAAAGAGAACTTCGTTGTCTGTTTTGAAATAACAAGTTTTGTCTATGCGAGCAAATGGTGTTGATGCAATCGATCGATCAATGGTCATTGTGAAAAGAACACAGATTTCATTCTTGTGGTTGATGAACGTGAGCCTTTCCTTTATAAAATGAATGGCGATATTTCGGTTGCTACTTGTTAATAAGAAATTATTAAATGATATCAATCCACCTTGTTTAATTTTACTGTCAAAATCTTGCT